GACTGTTTGGGTGAGAAGCGACAATGACAGTGATGAAGCCTGTTCTCCTTCAGGCAGAGTTAGGATGCCTTTTTGCATTCCCATAGCGCTTTTGTTCTGTAACCCTTGCCTTCTTGGCTTCTACCTTGTCTGTGTAATTGAGGACCAGTTAGGGGAAGTGGATAAGAATAACAGTGATTTCAGCCAGACTCCCCACCAATGTCATCACAAGAATCTTTGAATAGAATCACAAGAAACACAAGAAAATCTCCTGACACTCTTGCAAGGGGGTCAGGATGGCTTGCGAAGACTCTTTGGTGCCTGCAGTCTTGATAATGCCAATTTTTTGCTTCAGATTTTTTGTGTTAGATGATGATGCTTCTCCATCTTCTCCTGCTAGTGATGTGGTGGGGCTCTGTAGTCAGAACGAACCAGGTGACTCCAACTTCTTCACCTTGTGGCCTTGGGTACTTGACCTCATTAGGCCTTTGTTTTCTTATCTATAAAATGGAAATAATACTTACCAAAAAGGTGGGTGGGAAGATTAATGACAACAAATGCGAAGTGCCTGGGACATAGACATACCTGGGTCATAGCAAGTCCTCGGTGTATTATGATCACGGCTCAATCCAGCAATTACTCTCTCCCACTGATATTATTATCAGGTCTCCCCTATTAGACCATAAGCTCTATGAGAATGAGGGACTTTGTTTTGTTCACTGCTGTTTCTCTGTATACAGTGCCTGGATCACAGTAGGTGCCCAGTAAATATTGGTTGAATCGATGAATGAAGTCCTAAACAAGTTGACCTTGCTTTTGTAGGTTTTTAGTAAACTGGCTGGCATTCAGATGCTCTTGCTCACAGGAAAGTGTTCCTTCTGCCTGGAGCACTCCCTCTTCACCTGGTTAAGTTCTACTCCTCCTTCTGATCTTAGCACAAGCATCACTCCTTTAGAGCAACTTCTCTGACCTTCCACTTCATTGTATTTGTTAACCATGTTGCAATTTTACTTTTATCTGTATAACTGATTCATATTTGACTGTAAACTTCCTAAGGATAGGGATCAGGTCTGTTGTACTTACCACTGTATATTACCAGGCACTAGGTAATTTGTACCTTCAGTACAAATTTGCTGAATGAATAAATCACATATCCATTTTGCAAAGATCCCCCCTCTAGAAATTGGGGTCCAATTTCACAAATTGGATCAGAGGTCAGTCCCTGGCTTTGCAGTGCTGCACCATAAATCATTGCTTTCCCCTGTTTCTGGGGCAAGCACTGTGACTCCTACTGGGGCCAATTTGTTAGTCCCAAAGTGTCTCATTACTGTTTATCAGGACTTCGTTATGCAGCTGGACCCTCCAGCAGGAGGTCTAGGAAAGCCAGGATATTGGCAGGGCTGGGAGTATGGGATGGGATTTGCCATTTACATCTATCCCACCCTCACTCCATTTATATTTAGTATTTATCATACTGAGTTGTAGTTGTTAATTTTCAGGTGCCTCCCTCTCTCCCACACAGTGAGGGCAGGATCTCTTGCCCCCAGAGTCCACTGTGGTGTGCAGCAAATGCTCATAAGGTTTTCTTGAAGGAATGGAATGTTTTCTATGAGTGAAGCTTAATTGAGAACAGAAATCAACTCATAAGACTATCTCTGACATTTAAAAATAAAAAATCTGAGCCAATAAATCCCTTAACCTGGATAGGGTTTTCTGTTACTTGCAACTGAAAGTACTCCCGTAGAGCATAACTAATGATGTTCAATATAACATCATATTTTTAAACAAAAATCTTGGATCAATTTTCGTTTAAAAATATTCACTTCCTATCCACTCCCTTTCACTTACCTGCATAAGAGAATAAATCTCCTTTGAGCTCAGTTCTGGGACTGATTTTAGCTAGTGAGTTGTTAGCAGACATATACAAGCAGCATGTACAAAGTGCTAGCACAGTTGAGTATGCTGCCTTGTACCACTGCCATCTTAATGACAAGAGTTCGTCCTGGGTATCTACTGTCCCATCAGCTGTGGCCCCAGAATGAATACTAGAATAGTGAATCAGAGCTCAACCAGCACACAGGAGCCAAACCCAGCTGAACCTTAGCTTGAAGCAGAGCCCTCCAGTCAAGCCTAGCCTAGATCAACCAGCCAATCCCCAGCCAATCTCTAGACCTTATGAGAAATGAATGCTCATTGTGGCATGTTGCTGAGATTTTATGGTGGTTTGTTATGGAGCAATAACTGACTGATCAAGGTTAGGTCAGGGTTTTCCAGACTTGACAGTGCATCTGAATTGCCTAGAGAAGTTTAAAATAAATAAGAGATACTTGGGCATTACCTAGACTGTTTAGAGTACTGTTTGGAAATCTACATTCTTTTAAAATTCTCTGGATGGTTTTTATGTAGTGAGTCCCACAGCCTTTTGCTATCTGATATTTTGGGGTCACCAGTATTAAAGCATGTCATGGGTGTTATATTAATTCACCTCTAACAACCTTTACCTCTCAGAGATTATATCATCAAAGTCAGACAATTCTGTTTCTGATGCAGAGTTCTTTTCTAGAAATCTGTGTTAGCTGATTTGGGGAAAGATGCAGATGTAAATTAATTTGTGACTTAGGGCCCCAGGATTTTTTTTTGCTTTTTTTTTTTTTTTTTTTGGCAGTCTAGCTCTGTTGTTGCCCAGTGCCCAGGAGGAAGTACAGTGGCATGATCATAGCTCATATGTAACCTTGAACTCCTGGGCTCAACTGATCTTCCCACTTCAGCTTCCTTAATAGCTGAGACTACAGGTGCATGCCACTATGCTGGCTAATTAAAAAAATTTTTTTGTGTGTGGAGACAAAGTCTATGTTGTTCAGATTGGTTTTGAACTCCTGGCTTCAAGCAATCCTCCTGCCTCAGCCTCAGAAAGTGCTGGGATTACAGATGTGAGCCACCCACCTACCCGCCGATGTTTTGCTTTTTATTTAATAATTGACTTCTCTTAGTATTTCTTCCTGGGCTATGGTTAGCAGTGAAATGAAAATTCAAGGCAGAATACTGGGGCTTGGAGAGCCAAAACACAGGTCAGGAAAGAAGTATGGAAGAGGTCAAGTTTAGCAGAGAAGCTGCTGAAGGAGTGGTCTGAGAAGCCTTAGCTGTGGTCTAGCAGTTAGGAATCTGAGATCCCATAGGATTGAGCAAAGCCAGAAGTTCAATTTTTGTAACTATTAGCATGCAGCTAACAGTTTATAGAGATAATAAAATGTTAAAAAATGTAAATTTATTTATATAAAAAGTATGATGAAAGTACAATTTAAAAGAAAGTAGTGGTTTTTTTTTTTTTTTGAGACAGAGTCTCACTCTGTCACCTAGGATGGAGTGAAGGCAAGATCTCAGCTCACTGCAACCTCTGCCTCCCAGTTCAAACAATTCTCATGACTCAGCCTTAGTAGCTGGGATTACAGGCATGCACCACCACACCTGGCTAATATTTTGTGCATTGTTAGTAGAGACAGTAGGAGAATTGTTGGCCATGCTGGTTTTAAACTTCTGGCCTCAAGTGATCCACCTGCCTCCATCTCCTAAAGTGCTGGGATTATAGGTGTGAGCCACCGCACTGGCCAGAAGGAAGTAGCTTTTTGAAATGATAAGCCTGGGCAACATAGTGAGACCCTGTTTCTAATAAAAAAAATTAGCTGGACCTGTTGGCACATACTCATAGTCCCAGCTTCTCAGGAGGCTGAGGTGCAACGATTGCTTGAGCCTGAGAGGCTGAGGCTTCAGTGAGCCATGATCACGCCATTGCATTCCAGCCTGGGTGACAAAGTGAGATACAGTTAAAAAAAAGACAAAAATATTTCATTGAAAAAAATTCAGTTCATATAGAAAAATATAAAGAACAGGTAATTATTACTTATAAGCTGGTCTTTCAGGCATAACCACCATTAATGTATTGCTGGATAGTGTCCTTCACATTTTTTCCTATGGATGTGTACACATATATATTCTAGAAAAATAGGGTTTTCCTATTACTCATTAGTATCCTGCTTTCTCCACATCAGTAAACACTAACCTAATTGTCATCAATGTTAAAGCTGTATAGCACTCCATTGTGCTAAGATGTACCATACATTAGTCTCCACTGATGGACATTAAAGTTATAAAGACTGTGATGAACATCCTAATGCATACACTTTTGTGTGCTTGTCCAGTTATCCTTTAGATAAATTCCAATAAATGGAATTGCTAAAGAGTAAACACATTTTAAAGGTTTTTGATACACAAATTGCCCTCCTGAAATATATAAATAAGTAGTGCTTAGTCTGCCAATTCTTTTAACTCTTGTTAATCATCCAAAGGGAAAAAAATTTTGTGGGTTTTATTTTTATTTTGATTTTTTTTGAGATGGACTTTCACTCTTGTTGCCCAAGCTAGAGTGCAATGGTTTGATCTCGGCTAACTGCAACCTCTGCCTCCTGGGTTCAAGCAATTCTGCTTCAGCCTACCAAGTAGCTGGGATTACAGGCAGTACAGGCATGCGCCACCATGCCTGGCTAATTTTTTGTATTTTTAGTAGAAACGGGGGTTTCACCATGTTAGACAGGATGGTCTCTAACTCCTGACCTCAGGTGATCCATCCACCTCGGCCTCCCAAAGTGCTGGGATTACAGGCATAAACCACTGTACCCGGCCAGGATTTTGTGGTTTTAATCTTTTATTACTGGTGGGTTCAAATCTGTTTTCATGTATTTATTGTTTGTAATTTTTGTGAATGAGTCAAGCTTCCCATTTTTCTATAATGTCAACTTTTTCTTCTTGACATACACCTTTATATTAAGTATACTGTCATATTTGCACTAAAGACATTTTTCCTAATGTGGCTTTGCTTGTAGTGGCTTTTCACACATTTCTTAATTTTATGAATCAACTTGATCAGTTTTTCAATAAGACTTAAAATTTCTTCTGGGGTGGGAGGCAATATAATAGTATGAAAAAGGCAGAGGACTTTCACAAAATTCAGCCCATGATCTTATTACCTATGTCTGGGTATCATTTAGCAGGATGTGGTAGGAAGAGCACTGGACTGGGAGTCAGATCACTATGCTTCTCTGGGTCCCAACTTCCTCATCTGTAGAATGGAGATAAGAATGAAAACTCCCTCCTAGGCCTGTAAAAAAAGAATTGAAGAGAATGCACATTAAGAGCTTTCACTAGGCCTTGTATATAGAAAATCCTCTCTAAATCTCAGCTATTGTTGTGGGGAGAGGGCAATACAGACTTTTATAAAACTATCTTCAACTCAATTGTATGTGAGTCTATGGGAATGAGGTGGGGGGTGAGGAAACTAGAAATGTAACCATTCACCCAACATCTCTGAGAACTGCCTGGCAGGAGTCAGAACTTGGGCTCCCATCCTGGTCCTGCCCATTTCTTGGTGGGCGACCTTGGACAAGTCACCTTTACCTCTTCTGCGACTGTTTCTTTACCTAAAAAGTATTGCAGATATTTGACAGACCACCTGCCCTCATTCCCAGTCCTGCTGCTGGGCGAAGGAAACGCTTCAAAAACGCTCATAAAGGGCGGCAAACACGTCAGTTACAGAGCTGCCTACTGCCGAGGGGTGGCCACAACCCCGGCCCCCGCGCCCCCGCCCCGCCGCAGGAACAATAGCTCCCCCGGAGGCGGCGCCGGTCGTGGCCGGGGGCGGAGCTGTCGGCTCGGGCGCTGGGGGTGTGCGCGGGGCGGGGTCGCAGCCACCCCTCCCGCCGGCGACTCCGTCACGCGCCCCTCACCGGGCGGGCCGGGGTCTTTGTGACGCGGTGGCAACGGCCACGGACACAAAGGGAAGGCGAGGAGGCGAGCGAGGGGCTGGGCCTGCCTCGGGCCCGCGACCCTCGCCCGCCGCGCGCGCGCCCGCTCGCTCCCCTCGCCGCGGTCTCCCCCACGCCGGCTCGCACCCTCGCGCGCACCCTCGCGCGCCCGCGACCCTCGCACGCGCCCAGACCCACCGACTCCGTCCCGAGCGCCGCGGGCCCGGGCCTGGCGGGCGCTGCGGGTGGGGCGGGGATGCTGAGGGGCTGCTCTCCGGCTCCGCGGCGCGGCTGCTAGGAGGCGCCGAGGCAGTGGCGGGGCTGTGGGCGCGCGGCTGGATGCCCCCGGCCTGCGGCTCCCTGCGCTTCCCGCCGTCCAGGGGCGCCAGCCATGGGCACCGCGGCCGCTGAGGCGCCGCTCCGGCTACCTGCCGCGCCCCCGCTCGCCTTCTGCTGCTACACGTCGGTGCTTCTGCTCTTCGCCTTCTCTCTGCCCGGGAGCCGCGCGTCCAACCAGCCCCCGAGTGGTGGCGGCGGCGGCGGGGACTGTCCCGGCGGCAAAGGCAAGAGCATCAACTGCTCAGGTAGGACGGGTCGGAGCCGGCCCTAGGTCTCACCACCTCTCTGTTGCCGCTTCCCTCCTGGTCCCTGCGGTCGGCCAGGCTGGGAAAGACACCGGCGTGGGGGTCCCAGGGATCTGGGCCGGTGGGTGAGCGAGGGCGGAGGGCAGGGCGCGAGGGTGCGGTGTGGCTTGGGGACCGGCGCTGGGGATGGGAGTGGCCGTGCGTGCGTCCGAGTGTGTCGAGTGGCCGGGCGAGGGCGGCCCGGCTCGTGGGGAGGCGGTGGGGCCGGGGCCGGCGAGGCAGAGCAGCAGACAGGGGCTCCCGGCGTGGTCGTGGGTGTGCTCGCGGGAGCGCGTGTTTGTGTTGTGAAGGCTCAGGGGAGGGAGGGCGGCCCCAGGCAGGGATCTGTGTGTGTGTGTGCGCGGAGTGCGGTGGGTGGGAGAGGGCGAGGGGCTGGGCAGGGTAAGGGCGGGGGAGTGACCATGTGCTGGGGAGGGTCTTCCTTAAGGCACTGGGGTCTGGGGGGGGGGGGTGTCGTGTGAATAAAGGGAACGGGTTGCCTTGAGGATGCGGGTTGGCGATGCAGAGTGACTGTGTGAGTGTGTGTATGCGGGTGCGTGTGTGTGTTCTTTGGGTTCTGAGATGGGATCTGGGGTCTTGGAGTGACCTCGGGTCTGTGGATATGAGAGGGAATGTCCCAGGGCCTAGAAAGTGATCCTGTGTTTTTGTGTGTTGTGTGTGTGTGACACACCTGGGGCTCAGTTAGTCACCCTTGGGTATTCATTGAAGAGGAGGGATGGGTGCCCTGTAATGAACCCCATTTGTGTCTTTTCAAAGGGAGGGGGTTTGGGAATCATCATCCTGTGTAGGCTTTGGGTGTAGAAAGAGGAAATTAGGTCTCAGGGAGTGCCCTTGTGTAGCAAGGTGTAACCCTGGGTTATTAAAGTGGTGTGGAAAGAGAGAACTGGGTCCCAGGGAAGATGCCTTGCCCGTGTTTGTGTGTTTTGCGGGAAGGCCTGGATATTGGCAGTAGTGGGAGCAAGGGAGTGACCTGTCCCCTCTCTCCAAGGCCGCTTGCCCCCTCACAGCTGTTGGAAACAAAGAGCTTGCTGGGGCTTTAATGGATAACACTGGGGAGGAGGGTCCCGGCAGTAAAGTTCCCTCTTCCTTTCTAAAAGGGTCCCAGAGGCAAACAAGGATTAAGGCCCTGGGGCACAGAGAGGCATTCAGGTCTCCTGGGACGGGGGTTGGGGGGGGGGGGGGGGGAAGTCCACCTGGAGCTGGCCTAGCAGATGCTAGTGATCATAAGCCACATTCTTGATAACTTACCATTTTATCATTTCGGAGCCTTCTCTTGTCTTCTTTAAACCAAGGTGGAGTAGGGGGAGGAAGGAGGGACGTCAGGCCAGTAGGAATCTGCCTGACAACCTTTGTACCTTTGGGCTCTCGAAGGGGCATTATTTCTGGAAAAGTGAGGAAGGAGCATAAGCGCAGATGCTTATGCTACCCTAAATGAAGCAAGCCTTTGGCCTGCTGTTTAGATTTGAAGGCCATACATCTTTTAATAATTTTCATATGGTGATGTTTTATGAGGGGAAGGGCAGTTTTGAGCACAGTGAGCAATGGCATGTCCATTAAAAGCATTTCCATCCGTGAAATAACTTTTCCTTTATTTTTCTGATGTTGTGTGAGATATGGGGTAATGCTTTCTTACATAATCACACTTTAAGAATAAACACCAGTTGTATATTAGAGTGCTTTTTATGTAACAAATATTATCAAACTTGTAAGTGATCACATCATGTCAATAGTTTTCTGGCTGTGTCCTGGGTATTTGTTCTTGCTAAGCTAATTTGTTCTTAGCAAAATATAGTGTGTGTTAATGGGATGTTTTTGTGTACGCTTTCTAACTTGCATAGTACAAGTTTTAAGAAAGGAAATAAAGGGAATAGAAGGTTGGATACCTTGAGGACACGTGTTGGCGATGCAGAGTGACTGTCTGTGTTTAGGCGCGTATGTGTTCTTTGGGTTCTGAGATGGGATCTGGGGGCTTGGAGTGACCTCGGGTCTGTGAATATGGGCAGGAAAAGTCCCAGGGCCTGGGAAGTGAACCTGTGTTTTTGTGTGTTGTATGTGTGTGTGAAGCCTGGGGGTCAGTTAGTCACCCTGGGGTATGCATTGAAGAGGGGCGGGCGCCACATGATGTGGGAAAAAGGGGACTGATCTAGGGGTCATGGCCCTTGCTAAGCAGCTGTGTAATTTGGGGCAACTTACTTAATTTCTCTTAGTTTCCTTTCCTTTTAAAAAAGAGACTTGGATTTAGTAATACCTGAGTCTTCTTTCAAGCATATTTATCACTGATATAAATGTCAATAAATTAAGCTGATAAAATAAAATGTTTTCTAGCAATGAGATATACTTGAATAACTGGGTCTAAAGTTAGAGTTTTAACTAAATGATACTTGTAGATTCTTGTAACTTTTTTTTTTTTTTTGAGACAGTGTCTCCCACTGTTGCCCAGGCTGTAGTGCAATGGTGTGATCTTGGCTCACTGCAATCTTCGCCTCCTGGGTTCAAGCAATTCTCCTGCCTCAGCCTCCCAAGTAGCTGGGACTACAGGTGTGGGCCACCATGCCTGACTAATTTTTTTGTATTTTTAGTAGAGATGGGGTTTCACCATGTTGGCTAGGATGGTCTTGATTTCCTGACCTCGTGATCTGCCCACCTTGGCCTCCCAAAGTGCTGGGATTACAGGCATGAGCCATGGCACCTGGCTGATTCTTGTTACTTTTTAGGATAAAGACCTGGGAATGATTCATATGGCAAAAAAAAGTTTTAGTTGCTAAATTTGAGAATCATAGTAATACAGTCTGGACACACACATCTATTAATGCAGCTTGAAATTGTGCATAGTTTTTTTTTTAGTAGCTTTTATTATCTAGATTTCCCCACACAAACTGAAGTTTACTGTGTCATCTCTTTTTTTTTCTTTTGAGATGGAGTCTCACTCTCATCCAGGCGGAGTGCTGTGGTGCGATCTCAGCTAATTGCAACCTCCGCCTCCTGGGTTCAAGTGATTCTCCTGCCTCAGCCTCTGGAGTAGGTGCGACTACAGGCACCCACTACCACTCCCAGTTAATTTTTTTGTATTTTAGTAGAGATGGAGTTTTACCATGTTGGCCAGGCTGATCTTGAACTCCTGTCCTCAAGTGATCCACCCACCACAGCCTCCCAAAGTGCTGAGATTATAGGTGTGAGCCACTGCGCCCAGCCTATTTCAGTTTTAAAACTAAACGCTGCCATTGACTCCCTGTAAATTTTCATTTTTGGTTTTGGACTATCATTTCAGCCTACTGTGACCTTTCTGGAGCTGATTCTGTCAGGCTGTGTGTGTTGGGTCACTCACAGGTTTTTTTTTTTTCACTTGCAAATATGAAGAGGTCTATGGGTTTACTACATTAATACAAGTTGTCTAGATTGTGAAAAAGGATGGAACACTGTGATATATTACTGGAGACTTTTTACCAACTTGGTTGATGTTGTTACGTTAGTCAACCAGATGTTCAACTAGCTATGCATCCTGTTAGTTGAATTTAACAGATTTTTGAGCTTCTGCTGTTCAACATTTTCCCATCTTGTTCAGCAGCCTATTATTTAGAAGATTATTTCAGATTGTCTTATTAGATTCAGTTATGTATATGTATCATCCTCTCGTCCTCCCTCTTTCCATTTTAGTAATCCTGCAAAATAAAAAGCACATGTTACATAGCCTGCCTTAATAAAGAGCTGTTGGTGGCTTTCTCTTTTTGCCCTATTCAAAAACTTATTTATCCATTTTAGAATTTTTCAGCAGTTGCATGGCAGGTTTACCCATAGATGTTTTTCTGGATCTGCATTCTGCCTTTTTTTTGTCGGGGCGGGAGACAGTCTCAGTCTGTTGTCCAGGCTGGAGTGTGCAGTGGCATGATCTGGGCTCACCATAACCTCCGCCTCCTGGGTTCAAGCAATTCTCCTGCCTCAGCCTCCCGAGTAGCTGGGACGACAGATGCACGCTGCCACAACTGGCTAGTTTTTCTGTATTTTAGTAGAGAAGGGATTTCATTGTTTTGCCCATGCTGGTCTCGAACTCCTGAGCTCAGGCATTCTGCCCACCTCAGCCTCCCAAAGTGCTAGGATTACAGGTATGAGTCACCACGCCTGGACTGCATTTCCCCTTTTTTGAAATTTGAGGACGAATTCTTTTATTTCTGG